GCAACTCTTGTGCATCTCAAAGTTATGTCCTACTAAGTTGTGATAAGTATCCTTATGCTTAGGTGGGCAAACTGACCCCATTCCAGACAAATGCAAACTGTAAAATATAGCTAACAGTCTCTGTACTGGTTTACGCATGAAAGAATATTGCTATAAAAATGACAACTTACACAGAATACTCCGGATAAAGCTCTGTGGAAATATTACTCCAGTGTTCAGGACCCTTCACCTGTTGCCAGCAACTTTTCAAAACAATTTCAAAGTAGCTACAAAGGGGTCTCTGTCCGAAATTGACTTTGGAAGTTCTTTGTTTTTAAAAACAACTGGATTTTTTCCATGTTCCTAATCATTATTTAGGATCACAAATTCCAGATCTGAGGTTTCTTTGAATCAAGACATTCTCTCTAGGTCAGATGTGGCTGAAGCCTTTGGCTGCTCAGCTCAGCTTGCCTGAGGAACTCCCTTCCTAATCTACATCAGGAGCCCCGAACGTCTTGATTCTTGACAGCCGCCTTTTATAACATAAGCCAATGTATCCGGTGTATTTTTACCAATGAGATTGTAGAATGCATCGCAATAGTGCTGTAGAAAACTGAAATGGTAGTGTAATATCCAAAGAGCCCAATGGTTCTCTCTCCTTCAGTACACTATGCCTGCAGACCCAGTCGGTGGTCCAAAGGCTGCAGTATGTTCTGCTGTGCTAGTCTCGTTCACTCACCTCGCGGCTCTTTGGGTTGACGTTCACCGTGAGGTTAAGCAGCCTGGTTTCCGTTTCGTGCAGGAAGAAAGGGTCCAGGATGCGGATCTGGCTGGTTTTGGCCTGCCAGATCTGAGGAGGGGGCTTCCAAAATCCCTTTCTTACCTTACAAGGAAGAGGAGGGGTTGATTAGGGATCTTGATTCTTGACACTGAGGGAAAGCAGCATGTTCCTTCAACCAAATCTGGTTTATGAGCCTGCCTGTGCTAACTGATGGAGTTCTGAGGACAAATTGAGCATTTACATATTCCCTTTTCTCTGTGGGTGCTCAAGACCCAGGATCAATCACTCCACATGTTGTCAGGAACTCGTATTCTCTACAAACGTGGTGCCAGAATTAGTTTCCTTGGAAATCCCTTTGTTTTGTCCTTTAGAACAAAAACAGTGTCAACGATCCCTTCAGCTGTTACAGAGTGTGGCTTTATGATTTTATGTTATTTTGTTATTAACTTTCTATTGAGAAATGGGAGAAAGCCATGGCTTCAAGCATAAATGACCAGCAGCCAAGAGGAAGGTCTGAGATTTGTGTGGTTTGTATACCTGGGTTGCCCATAACTAAATAAAGTACTTTTTTGTCTTTCTTTCATCACAATGGATTTTAAAAAACATAATATAAATATAAACAGAAAAATGAATCCTAACAATATCATGGTGCTTAGGAACGTTGTTGCTTTGACGGAATAAACAATAAAGGGATCTATTTACTGTCATTTGAGTCTGCTCTGAATCTTCTCTGTTCACTTTCTAATCAAGGACTCTGGGATGTGTTACTTTAGAGAATGGTTGAGTAAAAAGGACATGTGTCGCAATATAGAGTGAGGAGTGAAGATGTGACTAGAATCTGTTCCGATATAGACAGAGTGAAGGCTGGAATTACACAATACTGTGAAGGAGACTCGCTGTCTCTTCACATTTACATAAGCAAAGGACACTCACCCTCTTCTCATCGTACAGGATCTCCTTCATCCAGCGCAGATCCTGCTGCTTGAAAGGCACTAAGACCATAACAGTGTCAGGGTCATTATGAATGTAGGGGTTCACCGAGGCCGACTCTGGGTAGAAGAATCTCATGGTAGTCTTGTTGCCCACATCTGCCTCATAGCCCCTCACCGGGGCGTCGTTTACTCTGGACAAGCAGAAAGCAGAATTTAACTTCACAGGCACAGCACTATGGTTGAAACCTGGCTTCTTTACACTGATTTTTAATATTAAAAGTTTTTATGCACCTGAATAAACGTCAAGACAGGTAACGTAGCAGTTCTTCAGTTCTGTGACGTTTACTTTTCCCAAGCCAACGGCAAAAAAAACAAACAACAACAACACTCGAACTCCACAATTAAGTTTTAATGCAAGGCTTCGGTATATCCAAGAATATGGGCTTTGTACCTTTTGTTGCGTATCCAGTTACGTTAAACCTGACGCCAAGGAATTGAGTTTTAAGTGACAGTGTAACTAACACCATCAACAGACCAAAAAAAAAGCAGAATCAAGATAAGGAACTAATCCACTTGGCCCTGAATTGAAGTACAAATAATTGTCCCAAAATTCAAAGGCAACTACTGGTACCTAAACAAGGAGTTAAGCCAGGAGACCAATATTTTTCAGGAAAAAAATATCCCCTTTTGCAGGCAGCCCCAATCAAATGATTCATTGATGACAGAAAACCCACAACAGTCATGAGGTTTAAGGAAGGAAAGTACACATGAATGATGCAGTACTTTTATAGCTGTGAAGTGAATGAGGAAATTACTGTAAATAACAGGACAGGGGCAACGCTCACCGGCCAAAAGGTTTTTACAAAAACAAGTAGTCATACCGACACCAAGCTGCTGAGGCAAATACTGCTTTGCACATTATAATATGGCAAATGCAAATTTCACTTAGAGGGATGAGAATGATTACAGAGTAAGGTTAAATGTACTGTCTGCTGTTTAAACAAATACAATATAATGTACTGCTGAGCTTTAGCCAACAAGGAAATCGAATTCCAATGAAAACCTTAATGGAACCTTTGACTTAAATAAAAAACAATGTGACCTACTATAGTTCAGCTTCTCAAAATGCAAAAAAGGGCCACCTGACTTCTCTCAAATTTAAGATCCCTTGCTAAATGATTTTGAACAATTCATTTTTGTGCTGAATTCTTACTAGAAGGAGAGTATGCGGGTGGTTTTGGTGCTGGCACGTACGGTACAGCATTAGCTGTAACATGCTTTCTTACCTTGCAGTGAACATTCTCAACAAACCAATAAAACAAACTAAAAATAAGGAACAAGTAATAGGTTAATTTGTCTCCCTCACACCTGAAGAAGGCTCCACGGCCGAAACGTTGTGTTCTCTTTCTTCTTTTTTTCCAGCATGGAGTAAACCTATTACTTGTTCCTTTGCAGCCTACGCATGCTGACGCAGCTCCCCCGACCTGAACTACTACAAACTAAATATAAGGTATTTTGCAGGGCTTCAATAAGTATCTGTGCACAAGGTGCATAAGAGGTCATCAGGGGTGTTTGATACATACAGTACACTCACACTTAAGAAATGACAAAACAGTAGTTTGGTTAGTTTTGCTATCTGAAGTTTCGTGGTTTTCAAACGGTATTATTCAAATACCTTTGACCATATTTCCAATATGATTTTGTGCATTTGGCAAGGAGTGGCGAGTCTACTCTGTAGCTATTCACACCATATCCACCAAAGTCTATCAAGAGCAAACTTTAAATGAACCCTAACCCAATGGCAGAAGGTCTCGAGAGGAGAAGAAAAAGAAAAACGTACTGAGGGGAAATTCTTTAAGGCCTGCTGGGAACAGGTTGACGGGCTGATAAGGAGGTTTGTTGGCTTGGCATAATTACAAGCGGGCACAAGGAAAACGACGTACAGGTAATTCTTACCTGATTACGACATCGTACTTGTTGATGGTCCCTCCTAGAGAGGTGTTTTTTATTGAGAACCCATTTCCAACAACAACGCACCTTCTGCAGTCCAAGCTGAGGAGACACCAACAACACAGCTTCTTCAGGATGTTCGGATTGTGTTCCAGATAAGACCCAACACCTCACCTCTATTTATTGATTTTTTCCTACAAGTCCATATTAATCTTTTCGCCCCTTGTGTTTCTGAATTTCAGCGGTTTTAATTAATGCCCCTCCCCCCCCCCACACACACACCCCTTTTCAGTCTTCACTTTTTCTGTCCCAGTCTGACATTTCCCCTTCAAACCTCGTCTTAACTGTCATTGTGAAACACTAATGCTGCCTTTTAGTCTCTGTTGACAAACACATTTTCTTTCAGGATGTGACATTACACATTGGAAACCCACTGTATACACAAGACTGGTTAATTAATAACTGTACCAAGAAGTTCTTGCGACGTTTCCACAAACTAACTTAACGCAAATCTCTTCATTTCACTTACCTTTCAATACTTTGTGGCATTTCATAACTGGCTATGACAGCTAAAACCTTCAGAAGGAGCAGTTCTGGGGAAAAAAAAAGAATATTTTACTGTTCTATCAATGGATATGAATATCAATGTAAAATCCCATAGCTGTGCTGTGAAAGATTCAAGGCTACTTACTGTAAGTGTCCACTAACGTTTATTTGCATGCTGCAGTAGACCTAGAAGCCGATGTCTGCCAAGTTTACTTACTGCAGTTCTTCAAAGCATGGGTTCCCTCTAATCATCAATTATATAATTAAGGAGTTCACTGTAGCAAAACAATGCAATTAAGAAGACGGGGGGGGGGCACAGGATGAGTAGCCCTGGGATAAGGCATTCCAACTTAAGAGTGTGGAGCAGCGGCTGGGGCTGTGGGCTTGAAGGCCAAAGGTTGTGGGTTCAAATCTCAGCTGAGAATGCACTGTTATACCCTGGGGAGGAATATTTCACTCCAACTGGGTCAATAAAACGCCCAGCCGTATACGTGAACAAAAACTTGAATCTGTCGCTGCTTCATTTGGCTGACGGTTTCATTCACAACAAACATTCTTAATTTAAAATCCCATTTTAATTTTGCCGATGAGACAAATGATGAGCACCAAGACACGCGACGTGGCACAATGCGACGACACTGCAGAGGAAGAAACTGACTTTGCGGTTTTACAGCAGAGTTTGCAGTGTAAATAGAGCCATCCAGTCTTTAAGAGATCAGACCAATTCGACCCAAGGAAGGGGAGAAACCAGTGAGGAGCCTTTGACAGGGACGCCCCATAGAGCGGCTTCCTTTAAATCCTGGGAAATGAACGCGCTTGTGCTCCTACAGGAGACATGGGAGCACCAGGATGTTGAGACTGACAGCAAAGGAAGAGGAAGGTCCAAGCCCAGAGAACAGAGCAGCAGGAAACACACAAAAGGGATTCGTTAAAAGTTGTGTGTGTACAGAAATAAACAGGAGACGCACAAATGTTAATGCAATCCCCAGAAACAGTGGACTGAGCACAGACCACTTCACTTTTCAAGGGCTCACAAACATCAGAAGGACTTGTTCCCAGTGCCTAGATACGGTCATGCATTAGTGAGAAGCCCTAAAAACATTGAAACTTACCACTCCCTTTAATGCCATAAGGTAATGGCAGACTTGACGAAAAATTTTTCCAGAAGAAATCTTCCAGATTCAGGAACAATTTGTTTTTCCTGGTGATGCTGCAGGACACATGTGGAGATACAAGAAAAATAAACGCAGATCCTTCCAGTAATCCTGTCACCACGTGTTTTATCTAATGCTGGAGCTGGAAGTTCTATAAAGCCCTCACTTATAGTACAAGCGCTGTCAGATGAGAAGGTCTCGGGCTTCTGCCACGTTCATAGTAACATTTAAAAAAAACATTCCCACGAGCCAGCCGTATTGTAGGAACCAAAAATCAGTGTATGGCCGATTTTTAAAAAAATCTACTACCACCACCTGAACAAATCGAACTGTGTTTTGTTTGCCTTTTTTAGGACAGAAAGGAAGCAAAAGGTGTGAAACAACCATTTAGCCTAATAAGGAGAAACGGTCGTGTCTTTGAATACAAGGAACATGAGCGACCAGCCAAATTCAAACAACTCAAAGGACACCCCGAAGACAGAACCATGAAATGATTCAAATTATCTGTAAAAAAAAAGACTTCGATCTGAAATACACAGTTTGGCACCTGTTCTCTATGAAAACAACTTAAACAGAACTTCCCCCCATCCCTAAAACAATAAAAAGTCACACCGCAGCACAGTTCCTGGACCCATTTAAAAATAAACATACCTTCTGCAAACCACAACCCATGGACAAATATACACTACTGACATTAGTATACTAATAGTAGTGCACTAATACTACATAATTCCAGAATATTGACACAATGATCTGTGTTGTACTAAAACTTAAAGGTTGCAGTCTGGCTTAGGAAATGGATGGATAAAAGTGTTGTCTTTGCTTAATTGAAATGTGTCTACATTTCCCAAGAGCTCTTTCCCCAATGTGATTTGAGTTTGTCTCAAGTTACTTGCAGTACAGGTCACAGGTTTCCTCCCAGGAGGATAGTCTGTTGCACAACAGGAAACTAAGTCCAAAACGTCTGAAGTCCTTAGGTTTTCTTTAAACTAAAGATTTCAAGGACTGTATTTAGTTATTAAATGGTATTGTACAGTACAGACATCTTCCAAGACGTTTTGTATCTGGTCATTGAGAAAAAAAGCGCATTTCACTGAAGGTACAGTTACTCCTCCATTGTCTAAGTGCTATTTCCAATTCAGTGTCCCAGTCGAGCTGCAGCCTGTCCCAGCAAGCAATGGGTGGAAGGAGGGATACACCTTGGACAGGATGCCAGTTCTACTCGGAGCACAAACGGATACCAGCACGCGCTCAGAGCAGGGCCCATTTTCTCCAGCAGGCAATGAACCTACCAGGATGTTTTTGGATTGAGAGGGGAAACAGGAATACTTGGACAAAAGCCACACAAACACAGAGACTAAAGGGATTAAAAACTCCACGCAGACAGCACCCCAGGCCCAGAATCAAACCCAGTGACCCAGCACTGTCAAGTAGCAATGCTAATCGCTGACTACGTTGCCTCCCCAGGTGCAGTTAGCTGTTCTAGGATTTGCTGAATCTTAGAAAGAGGCTTGCTCAATCTCTCCAGTTAATCCATCAATTAAGAAACTCAGAACGCAAACAAAAACAGCACTCCAGGTCATTAAAAATCCCAAGACAGAGGGGAGTTCCCCTCGGTTTTCCTGACTAATTTCCACTTCAGGAAATTCCACAATCTGCCCTTTCTTGCAATTTTTCCAATTGCTGTGTATGTAGTGGAACTACTGGCAATGGAAGGGCTTTCGGGTTTAAGTTCCCATACAAAGACTTTCACTTGCCACATTTGCAGTGTTAGTAAAAGACTACAAAAATACTTCCTTCATCTCGCTGACAAGACGTGTTTGCAGGAAAGGCCATGAGTGCTGTGAAAAGCTGGCAAACTCTTAGATGAGCACAAGATCTCCGGCTGGCAGAATGCTAATATAATCTGCTGGTTCAGATGCCTGAGGGCCAGTGTGCTGTACTGTTTTATTTCAACTCGGCTCTTAAACGAGCAAAGGCTGCTGGTTACCGATTTAACTGGACGAGTGCTTCAGACCTGAAAATCCACCGACACACCAGCACCAGTATTGAACTGCCCTCTGCCCTAGTTCATTCCCTTCCCTCTCCCTGTTGCAACATTGTATAGTCTCCCACAGGATCCCATATATTACACATTTGCACAACCAAATGCATTTCTTAATAATCAATCACTATAATCAATATCGGAAAGATCTCCGTGTGTTTCAAATATCCCTGCTGGACTCATCTTTGGGGGCACTTGATGAACACTTTTCTAAAAACAAATTTAAAGTAATTATTAAATATGTCTTCTTGATTTACTAGGATGGGGAAAATGCACTTTCTGTATGGAAGTTGCTGTGTGGTCATTTGCATGGTATGATGCTATTTGTCTGCACAACTATACATATATTTTTTGTGTGTACAAAATTAAAAAAAAAAGAAAAATGTACTTATCTGGCACCCATACAATATGTGAGATTTAGACAGAATAGTTTTAGACTTTTATCTATGCAAAATATTTCATCGTTTGTTCTTTCTAGGGGTCTATGCACCCACAGATCTTAAGGGCTTGAGACAGAATGCAATGGTAATACAGTACAAACAGATATTAAATTTAAAAATGTCTACCAAAAAAATCTTCAAGTCATTCACTCCTTTAAATTGGGTTTAAGGTAATTACTTACTTTAATCCCAGACTCTCGTACTTCTTTGACGTGTACCAACTTTCACACAGTGGTCTGATGGGGACGGTAGCTTTGCTGCTTCAACCATAACAGAGAAAAGAGCAATGATAACCATACATGTTGAAAAGACAAGAGACTGCCAGCAAATTCTACAATGATAAGGCCAATCTTTTGACATGGACAGCAGCTAACCTCGTACAGACAGACACAGAGAAAACTTTCAAGCTAAAGTAACCATTTTCCGCTAAACCCAAGATATCACTTCAAATTGAAAATCAATACCGGCACTGGCAGGGAATAACAGTTTTAAAATGTCCCCGGACACCAGCCCTGACACCAGGCAATATGGCGAGAGAGCCATATTTTGGAAAAAAGGCGCAGAACAACTTTACCTGTGCATGTACACTTGAGTGCAGCAGTACGAAATGAAGAGCAGTACAAATGGTATCAGCCTGATGAACCATGCTGTGTAGAAACAGAAGAAAAATCACTCTTAATCACAGACATTTTTTTAAATACAGGTATTTGCATGTTTACAATTTTATTATAATTGAAAAAGACTACTCAAACTCCAAATCAAAAACTAGAAGCCAAAAACAATATGTACAGTATACTGTACATGTAGATAATTATAACAAACATTGTGTTTTAATTTTAAAAGGCACCATTTTTTCACATTGCCGCATTTTCTAGATGCTTTAACCCATGAAGAGTGCTCTTTCCCTTTCCCACACTGACAATACAGTGGATATAAAAAATCTACACACCTGAGATTACTGAAATCTTACTGAGATTTCAGCGTTTTTGTTGATGTAAAGGCTGAAATCACGTCAGCCCTTTTTTCACACTGAATCAGATTTTATAACCAACAATATTTAAGTGAAAAACAGATTTTTTGTGAAAAATAATTAAAAATAGAAAACGTTCAATGCCTTTGTTGCTATCACAAGACTTGGAACCTTCCAAGAGCTTAAAGGGGAACTGCAACATTATTCTAAATTCGGTATTTCAAACTTCAATGTAGGTACATGTAAGGTGCAAAACCTCCAATTTTACATCACAAAACAGAGAAAATTTCCAGGTATGCGTATTGCATATTGCCATCATTACCTGTAATTCAGAACGCGACAACAAAACTTCTGGTGACATGAGGTGGCACCATTACAGTGCTTTGTAAATAAGCAGGTATGTGAACACAACTCTTTTAAGCCAATTGAAATACTGCTCTTAGTTGTAGAACCATATTCAATGCACATCTTAGGTCTATACTTAGGTCTTAATCATAGTTATGATCTTAAACTGTGAAGATTGTTTGGTATTTGTCTATCAATCACTGATGTCACCCTCTCACTGCACTCTCTATTCGTCAGTTTCTTTGGCAATAGTGGTAGGAAAAGTTTTGGTTTAGTATCTAAAATAAAAATGTATTTCATATTATGAACTATGAAATAATCAGGGTTCCTAACCATGTAAAACGCCAAATCAGAAATAAATTCAACACATGTGCTTTTCTAAACAGCCAATATTTGAAAACGAATTTCTGTTGCAAAAAAGCGAATGCTTCAGACAAAGTGAATTTTGCTACTGTATTAATTCATTTAAAGTATAATGTTATTAAACCAATGCATGAAAGGCAACATGTTTTTTAATAATTTAAGCAGACTGCCAATTTGAATGAGTGCAACTGAATTGAATTCAAAATAACTGACTTCCAGCTGGTTTGCCGACAAATACTATTTGTTACCTTGTTAACTCTGAATGCAGATCACGTTGGAACATTTCTGTGGAGAAATGTCTGCTGCACAACCAGTACTTATTCGCTTGTACATCACGCTGAATCTCGTTAGTTAACTTGTCGATGGGAACAGCATCAGTGCCTGTGTTTATTACCCATCTCTTGGCCTAAAAAGGATTAATGCTGTTTGTAGACCAGGTTTCCCTTTTTTGTTTGCAGGTACTAGTGAGCAGGAAGGGCTGCTTTACATCACAATTCTGGCAATCTCTCTCTCTCGCCCGTGGTGAGATCAGAGGTTTGCGACACAGTGCCAACCATACAGAACTTTCTAAAAATTAATGATAATCTGAAACTTGTAAAAGTTTGCTCTACCATCAATTAATTACTGAGATTTCATACCTAGTCTGAGAAATTGGGACTGCGGTTCCCCTTAAGTACCCAATTGATCCTTAATTACTTCAACTGGGTTTCTCCTGATAGTTTTGATTTTTGAGGATTAATGGAAGAAAAGACTGGCATTTCGATGAAAGCCCCCTATTTTTCAAATTTGACTTTACCATGGTTTAACTATATGTTTTTTATATGATCTGCCAGTTTTTAAAAAGGAGTCTAATCTGACTTGCTGGTTCGGTCAAAGCAACCTGGGTTTCTTTTTCAAATAACACTTTGCACCTTTTGAGAAAAAAACTCCACTATTGCAAAGGAACATTTGAACAAACACAAACCACAAACACTGCTGAAGGCTGTAACATTTTTTTTTTTGTTTCACAATATTTGCACAAAGTATTCAGAGGGATTAAAATTATTTCAGCCAAACAGTCTTTTCCGTTCTCCAACTGTACTAAATAAACGCAGTGATACTATTTACAGACCACTAAGTCTGCCAACAGGCATTCAGGATCAAAGCTATGTACCAATTTAATCGAAAAATGTTGCAACCATTCACATGAAAGAACAAAATGAATTAATTCTACATAGTAAGATTTGCATTTCGGGAACCACTTTGGAAAATGCAAAATTTGTAAACGTCTTTGTGACATTTGGCGTTTTGTTTATTAATTTCAGGCATGGATCTACACTCCACCCAGACTATGTTCAAAGACAAAAACATCAATGTTTCATTTTTAAACATTAACAGTACAAGACCACAAAGTAAAGCATTAAAGGGAAGTATTAAAATGTTTAAATGTCAGGGACAGTCCTCTGGCTCGAGTTGATCACGATGAGCTGCATTGGAACTTTAGTCTGTAACTTAAAAAGTGAAATAACCATCAAGCCCATTCACTTGCAGACGAGAACACTACCTACATTAAAACTTTAACGTCATATTCCAGGTTGAGTTTATAAAAGGGATTTTCAACATTTTATTAAATGCAATACATTATGGAAGTATATCTACATTTAAATAATAACCATCCTCTTTTGTAGATTAATTGAAATTTAGTAACAAAGCCCTAGTCCTGGCCATAGCCTGAAACACACACATCCATTAGGTGCATCTCGTAACTGTTTATAACATCACTAATAATAAGGTGATAATAGATTATTCGTAGACAGTAACAGTGACCCTGCTGGTCACGAGAATATAAGGTGTGACTGACATTTCTGACACTGGGCTGCATGATCACTATGCAAGGGAAGATATTAAGTCTCTGGAAATACCTTAGGACAAACTTACTGAAGATCATGAAGCAAAAGTCACATTGCTGCAAGGGGGTCATCATGCAACATCACATGATCTGCAAGAATCTACAACTTGCGATGGTACTGCACAATGGAGGTCAGCTGAAGCGAAGGAATTAAAAATGAAACAATGCAGCCTATTCATACTAAACAGAATCACAGTAAAAAGTCCCAGGACACAGTACACTAGAACATACTTTTGGGAAAAAAAAACATGCACTGGCTTAGCCCACGTTCTGCAAAAAAAAAAATGCTGTGCATGCAAACCAGTAACTAGATATACTGTAACTAGTTGCAGGTGTCTGTGCAAATTGGCCAGTTTACATGCCACGTATTTTTCAGACTGAAGCATTCCGACATTCGACGTTTCTGTGCAATGAGCCACTTGCTCGGTTGTGGCGCTTGTGTTGTATTACAGCAATGGGTCACCTGGTTAACGTAATGGTCCCATGTACTGGTCTGTACATGTATAAGCAACTAGATTGCATTAGCATTTCCTAAGATGCCATGTAAAATAGAAATATGTTACCTTTCATTGAGCTCGGCGTGTTGTTGTTACCTTAAAAAAGTCTGGGAGACGAAGAGGTGCACTTACAGCCACCTGGACATACTGTATGCATTATTTTGAGTTATTATTTTTGCGGCAATAGTAATGTGCTAAAATGTTACAATATCTGTGGCCAGTACCAAGTAAAGTTGTTAATTGTAACAATTACTATAAAAATGTTCCTGCATATTATTATATTATACAGTACATTGTTGGAATCTGCAACAATAAACAGTACAACTGTGCTCCTGTGTCCCCCAACAGGGGAATCTGGACACCATTAACTGCACACTGGAAGAATATTTATCTTTTATTTAAATCCTGAGATAAACTTAAGGAGGCTACAAAGGGGTTTCATAGTTAAAATCAATTATTTCACGCAAAGCTTTCATTTCAGCTTCTGACATGTTCTTTAACTGTGCACTCTACCACTGAGCTACATCCCCAATTATCAGACGACTACAAGCACCACAAACTCATTTTTCTCTTTTGTACTCGCTACAGCTTCAGAAAAACCCTCGACAGCAACATGGAGAGGATAAGGGACTTTTTAGAAAAGAGGAGTCCCTACCAAATTTATTGTGTCATACAAATGACAAAGTCCAGGTGTCTGTGTAGTAGAAGTCTCTTTATTTCATATGCATATGGAAGAACAGCTAGCGACCACCGAACTAAAAAATAAGCAACTAAAGACGGTCTTTCATACCGTGAAACAAACAGGTTCTACATATCTACATACATGTAGGTTCTACAGCTACAACATATTCTGAACGAATGATAAGACAATAACACATCCCTATATGGTTATTAATCATATCTAAGTTGCAGAATAGACAAAAGTTCTGGGCACACAGCCAGCTTATCTCATATATGCCCACTTATCCTACTGACCAAGGACAGGCAGCACATTTATAAATTGGGGTGCAAAGCCAACTACAAACCACTAGAAAATTGATATTATTATCTCACTTCCCAGGTGTCTCCTTCATCTCTTTATCTCCAACAACCATTTTAATTCAAAGGAAGAATCAAAAAAGACAAAACTGCATAACAGTGTGCATGCCTGGGTATTTTTGGCCTCATACACAAATTCAATCCCATTTAAAAGATTCATTACTTAGCATGTGGAATTAAACTAAAATTAATTGCCGTCTTGTGAGCTCTGGATTGGTTTTTCAAGGCAAAGAGAAGTAGTGAAACATTACCTTGCAAGGAAACCAATAGGTACCATGCAAAATACCTGTTAAAACAGGTACATTGTTTATACCAACATACCCAGCACACAGCCCTCTATGTCTGAAACACACAAAGGTTGAGTTGCATTTTCCCCCAGTTCACATTACTAAAAATACTAGAACATCCTTAGTATATTTTGTCAAATCACTCTAATCACTCCTCATAAGTAAACTATCCTTAACTCTGAAAATTTAAAGAGAATTTTAACCTGCTCCTTCCAAAAACACTGCTCATTTATAAAAAGTGGGAAACCAGAGTCACAGAGAGAAACACTGAAGCCAAATCCAAGATCTTCCGTCCATACTGTACATCTGCCTCAGGAATTCACTTTCATGAGACACCTCTTTCACACATGGAGACCAGCCTTGTGAAGAAAAGACTCATTTGGAGTGATGACGCACAGGCGCCCCAGATGCCGAGAAGAGTCGAGTTCTCCGTTTTGCTGTGTAAAAATCTATCTTGTAAAGCCCAGAAGTAAGCGCTCGCCTGCCATCTGCACCAGCTGCATGCCTTCTCCCCTCTTGACGTGAACGGAGAAAATATTCTCCAATCCAAGTCCACATTTTTTGTTTTCCATATTTTGGCCAATCCACTACCCGGTATTTAAAGGATCAGGCGGATCTCCCATTTATTCTAGAAGCAGGTCGAGACGGGAACATTTTTAAAAAAAGACTGTAATCGTGAGGCAATACCCACACAGCCACATACTGTAGCTACAGGTTAAGTTTCTACAAAACATGAACTGTCAACAACAGATAACAGAGTCTGTGGCCAGTTGCATAACATATTTTACCGGTCTTGAACTCTGTGTAAATCTCACTTGAAAAGCATTGCTTGGAACTGTTAAACACGCTGGAATTCATGCCATGAGAAACTGCCTACTTAAAATATTTAACACTGAAAAGGTCTTATTCCATTAGGCC